CTCCATGTCCTGATTCCCACCCCCCGATTGTCCCCTTATTGTCCCCTCTGTGTCCCCTCAGTGTCCCGATTCCCACCCCATGGTTGTCCCCTGATTGTCCTCTCACTGTCCCCCCTGTCCATGTCCCCAGACATGAAGCTGCTGGTGTGGGGCTCGGGCTCGTCTCGCACGGGGGTGCTGATCCCCATCCCACATTGTCCCGATTGTCCCCTCAGTGTCCCAGTTTCCACCCCATGGTTGTCCCCTGATTGTCCCCTCAATGTCCCGATTCCCACCCCATGATTGTCCCATGATTGTCCCACGATTGTCCCCTCACTGTCCCCTCCTGGTGTCCCCAGACGATGCTGAAGCTGCTGCTGTGGGGCTCGGGCTCGTCTCGCACGGGGGTGCTGATCCCCATCCCGCATTGTCCCCTTCGTGTCCCCTCAATGTCCCGATTCCCACCCCATGATTGTCCCCCGATTGTCCCCTGATTGTCCCCTCTCCGTGTCCCCAGACGATGCTGAAGCTGCTGGTGTGGGGCTCGGGCTCATCTCGCACGGGGGTGATGATCCCCATCCCGCATTGTCCCCTGAGTGTCCCCTCAGTGTCCCGATTCCCACCCCATGATTGTCCCCTGATTGTCCCACGATTGTCCCCTGATTGTCCCCTCACTGTCCCCAGACGATGCTGAAGCTGCTGCTGTGGGGCTCGGGCTCGTCTCGCACGGGGGTGCTGATCCCCATCCCGCATTGTCCCGATTGTCCCCTCAGTGTCCCGATTCCCACCCCATGATTGTCCCATGATTGTCCCCTCAGTGTCCCGATTCCCACCCCATGATTGTCCCATGATTGTCCCCCGATTGTCCCCTCACTGTCCCCTCTTGGTGTCCCCAGACGATGCTGAAGCTGCTGGTGTGGGGCTCAGGCTCGTCTCACACGGTGGTGCTGATCCCCATCCCACATTGTCCCCTGAGTGTCCCCTCAGTGTCCCCTCTCCATGTCCCAGTTCCCACCCCCTGATTGTCCCCATCCTCCGTGTCCCAAATCCCACCCCTCTGACCCCTCAGTGTCCCGTCTCTGTCCCCTCCATGTCTCAATTCCCACCTCAACCCATCTCATCTCCTCGCTGTCCCCTCCATGTCCCAAATCCCACCCCCCGATTGTCCCAAGTGTCCTCTGAGTGTCCTCTGAGTGTCCCCCATCCCACCTCCCTTAGTGTCCCCTGATTGTCCCCTCCATGTCCCCAGACGATGCTGAAGCTGCTGGTGTGGGGCTCGGGCTCGTCTCGCACGGGGGTGCTGATCCCCATCCCGCAGTACCCGCTCTACTCGGC